TATATATATATATATATATATATATATATATATATATATATATATATATATATATATATATATATATATATACATATATATAGGATGTATAAAAACTGTGCAGTTCGAAAATATTCGCTAAACTGCAAATTCCACAAAATTTTTGAAAGCATTATGTAAGCATGGATATAATTGGATTCTGCTAGCATCTTTATGACTAAAATTATTTTAAAAGGTAAATTTTCAAGTGCAGGAGGGTTGTTTCTAAAAATCTCTTCAATTAAAAATGGCTTGCGTATAATAATAGAAGGCTTAAAACCGAATTTGAATTCATAGGGCGCAAACTTAGAAGGCGTTCTTTGAACTGTCAAAGTACCAGACAATTGATGTAGATAAAGTCCAACGCGTAACCTCTAAAACTTGGACTTTTTAGCCATATAGTAGTCTTTCACGCTTAATTTATTAGACGCACGACTTATTTTGTGCACGATTTATTTTATGCATGATTTGATTTTTTTACTCTTTACAAAAATTATGCGTGAAAGGCTACTATGGCAGAAAAGTCCACGTTTTAGGGGTCGCGCGTTGGATTTAGTGTACATCAAATTATCTGATACCCCAGTTGCGTTTTAAGCCTTCCATTCTCGTGCGCAAGCCATTTTTAAAGCGGTTTTTAAAAACAACTTCTGCATTCGAAAATTATATCAAAATAATTATAGTAGTAAATATACTAGCAGACCTCAAACTACCCATGCTTGCAGTTGACACACCCTGCAGTATTTAGAATCCTATAGTTATATATTATATTTGCTACTCTTATTCTTATTAACATATTGATTGTACCATTGTCGACGTAATATTTAATTGTTTGCAACTAAAAAGAACTTGTTGATTAGCTATTAAATGGTCTTAATGCCGCATATTTTCTCACTTTTAAAACTGTACATATACATATCTAAATTCTCAATCTCTCTTTTATTATTAAGAAACAAAACTAGCAGGCGATTTCTTGTGAATAATAGGCATAGTACAAATAATAGACTGGACTGGACATTTGGATTGGGCTGATTTTTACATTTTCTCTATTCTTGAATTGCACGTCAGCCATGTCAGGTAACATGGCACAAAATAATATTTTATCACAGAATAGATATACCATGTCATGTCTATTTTGTGATTTGATCAGTGAACATTGCCTGGTATGTACCAGGAGATTGGTTGCAAGTCAAGAATATAACGTTTTGCACCTGAATTACTTTTGATTTTCGGAAATTGAAATACTTTACTTTCGCCGATGACCTCACTTTATAACTGGAGTGTAATCTCTCAAAGCGAAAGAAAGCCTAGTAAGTAGAATAGAATAGAATACCAAATATAAACTACTTATCTGTCGTGGCTATGAGTAATCTGCTCGCAAATATTTGGGAAATTTCGTTCTGCTCCTTATTTTTTTCTTCCTATACGCCTATGGAAACACTGCGTATATATTTATTATTGCACTATATTCCTATTTTCCACTGGTATTTAGTATAGAACGCCTTACTTCCTTAAAATCTGACTTTCTTGATGAATCTCGATTCCGCCCTTGGTTCTACCGTACCCGTTGTTGGTCAACGTCGTTTCATAATTGTAAAATAATCAAAGCCATTTACCCAAAATCTTTATTATGAAATATTTCATTATTCAGTTCTGTCGAGTAAGGCAATCATTCAGGTAATTCAATTCTGCTTTGATTTGCTGCGCTTGTTTCGTACCCGTCCACTGCCGCCTGTGTCGCGCCATTAACCTGCGCGTCTGAGTTTGGAACCTGGGGACGAGACTGGTATTCTCATGTATAGCTTAATTTTGAATAATGTAATTTATAAAAATTCTACAATATAAAACCGTGTAATTCATCAATCTTTGATTGCAAAACGTTTTCTAATAAATCTAAATCTATTTCATTATTCAGTTCTGTCGAGCGAGGTAATCATATCTAACCAGAGATTATTGTGTTTATTTTTGACAGATAGGTGGACATCTGCTCCTGGATCATTTATATTTTCTCTTCGAAATAATGACGACCTTGCGCCTTTCAAGGCTCCGCTGAGATATGAGAATGACGGGGGGGCAATTTTCCGTTTTAGTGGTTATGGACCAACATTTGGTAAGGGTGACTTGCACATTGCCAACAATGCGGGATCAAATACCAAGTCCTACACAATATTTGGTCTCATCTACCAATCTCCACCTGGATACACTTACCGCGAAACCAACACAAGCTCGCTCCTTGCAGGGAGCAGGAGATTCTCTCCGTCAGAAATCGAAACACTATATCTAAATTGAAACTGTGCTCATACTTACATTAAGGTAAATAATTTTGACAAACAAGTCACGTGATACCGTAAATGATCTAATAAACGCCTACTCTCCATAAGCGTACGGGAGGAGAAAAATAAAAGTAGGAAAAGCAGAAACACATTTGCCCGAATTTTTCGCATTTCGCCCGATTTATCAAAAACATTTTTCTGTATAGCGGGAAAATTTTTGAGATGTTAGATGCTTATACTATTTTGATACCGTACACATTTCTTCCGACTTAAGTTCCCAGCCCCCCTGTACGCTTATGCTACTGTGTTATAAAATCCTCGTCTTAACGCCTTGGCTCAAATAAGTTAAACGAGGTCGATGATAAGCTGTGATAATAAGCGCGCCCCAGCTCCTTTCTATTAAGGTGGCTCAATACAGTTTATTTGTAAAAAATTAAAATTCACAATTTAGATCGGTATTTTTGGCAAATTGTTACTTGTCGAAAAACAAAAACTATCTTACTGTAAGATGCCTTTGTTTTAAACAAGAAATATTCTTGTCCAAAAATGCGGATTTAAATCACAAATTTTCCCAACAAAAACTTTATCGAGCCACCTTAAACGCCCCATGCATATCTAATAAGCGCCCCCTGTCTCTAGAGAGGCGTTTATTAGATTACATCGAATGTTTATTAGATTGCACACTTAAATTGCATGAAATTATGTGTGTTGGAGTATATACGTTTAATGTTTGACTTTTATTTACGTTATTTGCAAACTGACTGCAGGAACAAACTGCAAGAAAGCGTTGCTTATGTAAAAATAGACGATTATTATCTAATAAACGACTCCCCTTCAAGTACGAAAATATATTAAAGACCCCAGGCGTTTATTGAATCATTTACGGTAACTATTTTTAGAAAAGTAGACTTTTACTTGCCTCATACCCAGGCGCTATATGGTAGGGGACATGAAGTACTACAATGGCTGGGTGATTCCTATTAGGAATTAGAGTGCATTTTACTCTTCAACTATCGTAGTTCTTTATTTAACGCTTGGGTACGAGGCTAGAGTCTTAGTCGTTATAGTCACAAACATAGAAATAAGTTAAATTGTATTTCCATCTTATAGACTACTGACTAGGCCAGCGATTTAGCGAAATCTCTGGTCAAGCTTAACGGAAAGCCCAGCCCGTTTAAGTGTTGCTTGAAAATGTAGCTTTATTTCTAAATTTAAATCCAAACTAAGCTTGAAGTCAATTTGCATCAAGTGAAGTTGGGTTGGGCTAAGATCACAATGTTTTTATTTCAAGACTCAGTGTCTTTATGGACATTTTTGCGTTAAAATTTATTTGCAATATTTTATGTTTCACTAAAAAGTTATACTATACTTTGAATGGTTTATTGCAGTGATTTACTGGATACCCCAAACGTTTCGGCTATTGTGTTTAAAACCATAATATATATTTCTTGTGTTTGATATATTACACAGCTGATTACAAGATGGACACCAGTCCAACGAAGTCTGAAGAGAAACACCTGGTGCTCATTAATAAATTGCGAGAGAGCACAGGAGAGCTTACTCTGTGACAGTAAAATAACACAAATCCCCATAGGCTATTTCTATCTACTGTCCACCCAAGGCCTATGGATGACTTTAATCTAATTAAAGAGGCGACACGCTAATATCTCGATCCACTTATGCCTCTGAAATTAAAATACTAACATCGCTTATTTCACCTGCGCGATGTTGTGGCGTTTTGGTTACATGTCAACCTCTTATCATGTAACTTGGATTTCTTAACTATATTGTCTTATTTGCACATTTTCATTATAATATTATCCATGTTAATTTAATAATTTATATAGATAATTTGTATACCATGCGTAGATTCTTAAAATCTGTTTTTTCTAGGATTGCATGGCGATAAATATAATCTTTTTGTGTTTCTTGGAAATTTGTTAAAGCAGTAGTCAAGTCCGTTCTGCTCATGCGCATGTTTTGTTTACGTCACTTTGACAACTATAGCAGCAGATTACGTTGACGGATTCTAGTAATTCGAGTGAAACAATCCAAAATAGATTTATTTCACCGAAATATTTATTAAGGCTGTTCTGACAAGCTTATTTCGCCTTGTGCTTACATTCTTGACAAAAGTCTGTACATCTTCATGTGAAAAAGAAGGCAGGCTCTCTTAATACCATGATATCGACAGAAAAAAGAAAAACTAGGTCTATATAAATATATCTAGCCAAGCGCGAAGGCAGCTTTATTATACAACTACAAGGCAAGAAGATTAGGATTTTATTATAAAATTCCAATCTCCTTGCGTAAGCTGCCTTCTTTTTATATACTTTCATCATGAACACGCCAATCCCACGCAAAGTCAAGGAAACTAAAGTCCCTCAATAATTTGGAATCTTTAAATAGTTCTTGTTCTTTTACAACCATACCAAGTCTATTGTAGAAGCAACGGCTTTTACTTCGCAAACAGGCGCAACAAAATAACCAAATGCAAGTATGAAATATGTCTACCGCCGCCAGTTGTGAAATAGGCCTATACCACATTCAAATTTCAACGCGCTGAGCGAATTAGAACCTCAATATAAACCGACACGAAACTATGTTCAAAGCGAACATGGTTTTTAAGAATTAATAAATTTCGGATTACACTTAGGAGTTAGGTTGATAAAATTTGTAGGAATACATCTTACCTCATAAACACAGTTTCGCCTTGTAATAGTTGTTTAGAAGCCAGTCCATCGCGAGTCTTGCTGTTAAAATATTCCTGACTTTAGTCTTCGTCTGGTTCTGCTGAAATTCCCCAGGCCCAGACAATTCAAAACTTTCGTCGTATCTCTTTCAATAAAGTAATTATTTCGTTCGGTCTTTCAATCTTTGCTTCTTTGGAAAGCAATTTCTTCAAATTTGCCGCTCAACAACAGTTTAAAGATGGCAAAAATAAGTTTCATGACAGCCGAAGACGTATGGTAACTAGCAGCTAGGGCGAACAAACAAGCGATGAATTCCTTTGTGTTTGAAAACAAAATCAAGAAACCAAGACCTTCCCTTGGGACATGGCATTGTCTTTCCTTATTTGGAATATGCGGCAGTTACATTTGAAACCAGACACATTTGAATGAATTTGAATGAATAATAACAAAAAATAATCGAAACTCGTTTACTCACATCAATTTGAATTAAAGAAGTACTTGTAATTCCCCTGAATTGTATTAAACCATGCAGACACAGAACTAAAAAGCCCTGCCCTACAAATAAAACTTTCCGACTTCAAGTAAACTTCATATGGTCTGTACGCTATAGGATTAAAATTTCGCTTTAAAACCTTCAAAATAAGACATTTTGGGCTCAACATACTATAAAAAGGAAGCGAAAAGTGAGATGAATCCATTGGTATACGGTCAGAAAACGGATAAACAACGATACGAAAGTTATCAAGGATCAAACGTACTGAATTTTTAATTCGTTTAATAATTTAAATTTGAACTATTTACAACAATATACAATTTCGCTTGTCTTTCGAAGGCCATAAATCGCTAGAATACTGCTGTTTAGAAATGAATTTTGAAATGAAGCGCATTAAAAACTGGGTCGTGAAGGAAAATAGGAAGTTTTTTCTGCAGAACTAACAAACTCGCGAGCCATGGACAAGGCAATTCATTCAGAAACGGGCGATTGAATGGACTTGGTTATTGCTGTAAAATTCTGATACATTCAGAATGATTTAATTGTACTTTCAATCAACTTTAAATAGTGTGTAATTAGTTTAAAACAAAATAACGTAATAAAAACATTAGATTTAGTTGCATGACATATCCAAACTTGGGTCTATAAACACTCGCACAAATACATATATAGACACTGTCGAGTATTTACCATTGTATGTATTTAAGTTCTAAATAAATACTTGAAAAACTATCGAATCTGTTTTTATATAAAATTGTTTTATATAAAATCGTGTTTTGCGATGGAATATATACATATCAAATTATTAAACTCAGTGCAAAATGTCATTTTAATATGCAAAAAAGTGCTCGAAGAGAAACTAGTTTTCGAGCGGTGATTGCAAGCAAGCAAAGTTTTTGTCGGATTAAAAACTGTGTCTGTGGTAATCTTCAATACATATGACAAAATGGAAGATTTTGAAAGTTTTTTTGGTTTCTTCCTAACACGAAAAATTTGCCGCCAAAATTAGATATACCAATTTTTCCCATCACATCAGATTCCATTAGGCGGAATTTTGCGCGCGGAGCTGAATTTTTCTTTGTCTTGTGATTTCTCGGGTGGAACTAGTTAGAAACGACAAATAAAAATTCCGCTCCGCGCGCAAAATTGCGCCCAGTGGAAAACCGACCTTATTCACCGACGCAAAATTACGCGCATTTGAATGCGCAGCGCGTGCGCTTTTTCTATGACCTCACCTAATTAAATTAGAACGCGGCACATAGTAAACACTTATTCTAGAAGACGTTTTCGTTCAAAATGAAAACAAATTATTCTAAAGGCACAAGTTGGCACGATGTCGAGAATTTGCTATGCCAATTGGAAAAATCCGACCAAGAGCTGGAAAGAATTCTACCTTGGTTTTACGAACACGTGAAATGCTTTAAGCAAGTCAAAGAAGGTTTGTAAATACCGGCAACATTTTCACGCCAGTTCATTTTTCCACAATCGTCTGGCGTTAGACAGAATACTAAGGGACGGACCATTTGATTTTTGATGGGGAAAGGTGTCTATTTTTTTCCCGACCTTTTGTAATATATTTGTTTTTCAAATTTGCCATGCTCGATATTTTTCGGATTTGCGCCCCTCCCCCATCAAAAATCGAGTGATCTTTCCTTAAAGTCAACATGTATTATTCATGTATATAAAAAAGGTACTCAAACTTTAGCATGTTCAAATGCGTTAAATATATCGAGTTTACTGATGTAACTCATTAGAAACTAAAATTCAGACTTTTAGCTGTCTATAAGGATACCTTTTTTGTCAAAACAAAGAAAGATGACCAAATACGCATTTTCCACCAACTGTCATCGACTCTATGCACTTCCATCAACTCTTTTTGACTTTGAGCAGTCCAAATTTTAGGGAGAGTTTATAAGAGTTTTCGCTATATCGCGCGGTAATATCCAGTCATGCAACTCTCATATATAACTCTTGTTCTCGTTTGATCATGTAATGAAAGTTGAGAAAACTCTCATGTAAACTCTCTGTTGTCAACTCTCATGCAACTCTTGTTCTCGTTTGATCATGTAATGAAAGTTGAGAAAACTTTCATGTAAACTCTCGCTTGTTAACTCTCATGTAACTCTTGTTCTCGTTTGATCAAGCAATGAAAGTTGAGAAAACTCTCATGTATTTCTCGCTTGGCAACTCTCATGCAACTCTTGTTCTCGTTTGATCAAGCAATGAAAGTTGAGAAAACTCTCATGTAAACTCTCGCTTGTCAACTCTCATGCAACTCTGGTTCTCGTTTGATCAAGCAATGAATGTTGAGAAAACTCTCATGGAAACTCTCGCTTCTCAACTCTCATGCAACCTCTTGTTCTCGTTTGATCAAGCAATGAAAGTTGAGAAAACTCTCATGTAAACTCTCGCTTGTCAACTCTCATGCAACTCTTGTTCTCGTTTGATCAAGCAATGAAAGTTGAGAAAACTCTCATGTAAACTCTCGCTTGTCAACTCTCATGTAACTCTTGTTCTCGTTTGATCAAGCAATGAAAGTTGGGAAAACTCTCATGTAAACTCTTGCTTCTCAACTCTCATGCAACCTCTTGTTCTCGTTTGATCAAGCAATGAAAGTTGAGAAAATTCTCATGTAAACTCTAGCTTGCTTGCAGATCCTACTTCAAAATCGGACAGATTTTACCTATAAAAACGGAGCAGATTTTACTTTGAAAAGTTTATTGGGAAATTTGTTTGAATTGGTTGGGCAAATGTTTAACCCCCCCCCCCCCATTTATTATCTCCCCCACACCAATGGGATATGGACCATGCACAATGTTTATGAATTTTTCCACAGAAGCGGTAAAACAAGTGATCAGAAAGTCAGAATATGCACCAATCAAAAGGGACCACGTGATTGTACGACAGGGCGAGGTCGGGGACTGGTAAGATACATTACTATATATACTCTTTTGTATTTTTTAACCACAACAGGGTGTTAAAAAAAGATATTAATGCAACTTTGATATGATTTTGTGTGTGTTGGTGTTATGTATTCAGGTGAATATGATGTTTGTGATGTTATTCTGAGTGTGCATCCACACTGGGCAAGCTGAAAAGTTAGCTTCGCCACTGTGGGAATCGCACCCGCGACCTTTGGGACACTAGTCCAATGCTCTGCCAACTGAGCTACGTGGTCAAGTCGGTTCGAGTTGATGATATTTCGGAACTGAGTCTAGTTCCTTTGATATCAGTGTATTTTATGATATGATTACCCAAGCTTGCCTGGTGTGGATGCACACTCAGAGTAACATCACAAACAACTTTGATATGTTGTCATGTATTATATATTACGTTTAACCATTTTTTCATACCAATAAAGATCACGGCTGTTACCTGTTGAATGATACCTTTCTCGTATCATCAGGGCCGAAATTTGGGTATAAACTTTTGGGGGTATGGGGTTATTTTGCCCGACATAAAGGGCGTGGCCGTCATAGGCGTCGAAAGATCGATAAGTGGGGGGACCATATTCATATATTCGTGTTCTGCATTATTAATTTCTTTTGAAATCGATTGTTTTTAAGGTCTGTGAACACGAATATATGAATATGGTCCCACTCCCCACTTATCGATATTTCGACGCCTATTGTGGCCGTAGTATTGCCCGACGAACCTTGAAAGTTTATGAAGGCAATTTATAGGAAACATATCGGGACTAGTCAGATAGTATTCTAAGTTTCATGCAAAAATATACAAGTTATAAAATACGACATGAGTCTAATTTAGATGTATAATGATACGGAATACAAACGTACCTGATAAATAAGTCCGATATGACACGATGTACTTTTTAAAATTTGGAAGAAAAAAAATCTTTATAATATGACTTTATGTTTTCTATCGTGCAGTCAGTACATTAGGTTGTATTTTTCTCATTTCTCCAGAATTCGCCCGACGAGTTCCAATAATTTGCCCGACCAGATCAACTTTCTTGAGATTGGAGGAGTGTATCCCCCCACCCACACGGCTCTCCGGGAGTTTCGGCCCTGTGTATCATTGCAATCATAGTATATACGAGTGTGTTTTAATTTCCGAATTGCCTAAAAGTGTTCGATAGCATATATAGATAGATAATGCAGAATTATATGTACAGTTTTTACGTCGGAAGGTTGCCACAACAGCCCGTTTCATCCTAGACGAATCATCAGATGCATCGCTCCTGATGATTCCTCGTGGATTAAACAGGCTTTTGGGGTAACCTTTTGAAGAAAAACCTCTATATTCTGAATGTCATAAACATACTCGTTTATATTAATTCATCATCAAACAATACTAGTTCTGCGAGTGTTATGTTATGTTGTGTTATTCTTCACTCGGTAATATGATAAAGAGAAAATGTTCTCGAGTTTTTTTTTCATAATTTCCAGATATTTCATAATTTCCAACCAAGTGAACAATAACACAACAGGAACATAACACTCGCAGAACTAGTATTGGTCTAACATTTTACAAAATCTTTCGTTCAAAATTTGCATCTACAAAAGCCCTGCAACTATGGGTACCCTAATAGAAGGATGATTGCTAGATAGTATACTTCAAAATAAGGTTTCCGTTTTTATAACGTAGAAAAGACTATCCTAACGCAAAACTAAACCCTAACACTAACCCTAACCTAACCCTAACCTATATTTTAAAAAATCGATACAAAACGGAAACCAAGTATATACTATCTAGCAATTGCCCTTATAGAAGTATGTTTACAAAACGCCAAAAACTAATACAAGCATTTATAACAGAAGCTTCCATTGTGCTCAGCCATTTACACTAAACACATTTGCACTCAAACCAAAGATCTATTTATAGCTGTTACATCATCCTCAGAGGAACTGTTTCAGTGTATGCAAAGCGGACGGAAGATTCAGATTATCTCGCGCAGGACGAACCGGGCGTGCGCACGACCATCGTGAAAAATCATAAAGAACGCTCGAAATTTGGCGCCGAAGTATCCGTGCTAAAAAGCGGCGACAAATTTGGCGATCTGTGTTTCTACAAGTCGAACAACGAGCGAAATGCGACGGTAATTGCCGACGAAAATCTACATTTGCTGGTGGTGGATTGCAGGGTATATCAAGTGTTGTTGGCGGATAAATTTTTGGATATGAAGGATCAACTGCGGTTTATGGAAAAGTCACCATTATTTAAAGGTACAGTCAAATTGTTTCCTAGTCATGTTTCCTGAAGGTGGACAAACCAGGAAACATTGTTTCCTAGCCATGTTTCCCGAAGGTGAACAAACCAGGAAACATTGTTTCCTAGCCATGTTTCCCGAAGGTGGACAAACCAGGAAACAGTTTCCTAGCCATGTTTCCTGAAGTTGGACAAACTAGGAAACATTGTTTCCTAGCCATGTTTCCCGAAGGTGGACAAACCAGGAAACATTGTTTCCTAGCCATGTTTCCCGAAGGTGGACAAACCAGGAAACATTGTTTCCTAGCCATGTTTCCCGAAGGTGGACAAACCAGGAAATATTGTTTCCTAGCCATGTTTCCTGAAGGTGGACAAACCAGGAAACATTGTTTCCTAGCCATGTTTCCTGAAGTTGGACAAACTAGGAAACATTGTTTCCTAGCCATGTTTCCCGAAGGTGGACAAACCAGGAAACATTATTCTCTAGGTATGTTTCCTGAAGCTGGACAAACCAGGAAATATTGTTTCCTAGCCATGTTTCCCGAAGATAAACATTATTTCTTAGCCAATGTCTTCTTGCACCACAGGTTACCCGTACGACTATCGTGTCACGCTTCTGGAAAAAATGCGGGCGAGACGATTGCATTATGGAAGCGCGATCGTGCGCCAAGGAGACCTGGTGAAGAGTATCACCATCATCTGCCGGGGGGAGGCGTTGCTAAAGATCAACCCAAAAAAGTTGAGCCAGCAGTACAAACTTGACGGTGACCAGCGGCCGCTCACAGTGATACAAAAAAGGCGGGAAATCTTGAAGCGCGGTTACGCAGCCGCTGAAGAAATTTTGAAACGAAAAAACGTGACAGTTGCTACCTTGGGAATCTGTGAACTAATTGGCGACATAGAATTCGTCCTAGGCCGCTCGCAATATCACATTACAGCCGTAGCGAACACGGAGATGTTAGTAATGGACATGGAATTAAACGAGCTGCAGCGACTGATGGCGAAACGTGATGGTGGCGTCTCTGAATTTCTTCACAGTACTGTTTTATGCAAGCTCAGCAGTAGAGCAGACCGCTGTACCAAAAGTAAGTTGACAATAACGTTGATCTCAAAACTAAAGCCGGTTTTGCACAAGCGAAATTTGTCGCGCGACTCATTTGTCTTATAACCTCTCGGCTGGAAGTAATTAAATTTTTAATAAATTTTAACAATAAAAACTTCGCTTCGCGCGAAGAAATTGGAAAACCAGTTTAAGGTCCATACAGACCGAACGCGATTCGGCAACGCGACGCGAATTTTCAGTTTTCAAAAACAAATAAAACTGTCACCGGATAAACATTTTACTTGTCAGTGGGTAGAGGTCTGCCAATAAATGAGTTAAAAATCTGTAGTCTTTTAGCCAGATATTCAATATAGTAGACATAGTTAGCAGTCTTTATAGTACCCAAAGAGTTAAGTATTTTTCAGACAGTAACTTGGCTGGGGACTGGGCAGAAAAAAGCAAGAACATCATGTAACATCAAGAATAGGGTTAAGCTTTGTACAGTTAGGTTCAGCCGTTCAGGCCTTCTTTACAGGTTAGAAAAAAAACATTTATATATTTGAATGATACCCTGAATCTAGCTGGATATTTTTCAACTATCCAACATATATCCTGTATGTAGCTGGAGAGCAAAAACATTCTATCCTGCACACCCGTAGAAAGAACTTCAAGTAGGTAACGTAAGAGGAAATTGCTCCTTTATAGGTGTTAATAGGTGAGATATGGGCCAGCATGCCACAGTCGGTAGGTAAAATTGTCTACCATGAAATGTCAGAGTTAAATAATAATATCAAAGTGCCAAGGTGGCTCGATAGTCAAAATTTCTGAAAAAAAATTTTTTTTTGCAAATATAAAATTTTGCATGTGGGACCCTTGTACGTTTGCTTCAAAAACGTTTTATTTGGATACATTGCTTATTTTCTTCAAAATAAGCCATTTAGTATACTAGTTTGTCAATTTAGGATGTCGTTGCCATGGTAACCATATTTGTTTTTGCATGTTTTTGCGTCCAGTCTTCCTACTGTTGAATTGGCTACCTATCTTGCAGTTGGTCACTTCAATGATGGATCCAGAACAATTTTATCTGTTTTGGAAAATCTTAGTGTTGACCCTGGAATCTATTGTACCAAAGCCTGTAAGAAGATTGATATTGACCGGATTTGGTGCTCGGGCTAAAAGAGCTCTGATGCATCTAAAAAGCGCCGCAGAAAAATTATACAGTAGAAAAAGGGGCATAATGAAACCAAGGAAGCAAAAGAGGAACGCCAGTATGAGGCTGGTGCTTTCTAATTGGGAACATGAACTTTGGTTCAAGTTTAACATATCAATCAAACTTCGGAGTGATTATTCTCATTTTTGAGAATTTGAATGTTCCGAGAGCCAATAATTGCAATATCTTGAGAAGTATTTTACCTATAAGCCTGAAATTTTCACTGTGAATTCATACAAGTATTAGCTGTGCAATGACCTATTATTTTCCTGTTTGACTACCCCAAACAATATTTAGAGCCTTTAGACAACATGTTGTTGGAGAATTTTTCTTACCAATTTTGAGAAAGGCCAAAATTAGAATATCTGGAAAATAATAAGTCATTGCACAGCTTTTGTATTACATATATCACTTAGAAAATTTCAGACACCTAGCACTTTTCGTTTAGGAGAAATCACTGTTGGCGTGACCAACAGTTTGACGACTTTAAAAATGGGTTGGGTGGGGAAAAGGGCGTGGCTCCTTAGCAACTGTAGATATGGACAAAAAGTGTTTTGTAAGTTGAAGCTATTAGACCATTGTATCTATTAATTCAAATTAAATTATCAGAAAAGCACCTGCACTACGATAAATAGTGCTCTCCAAATAGCCCTATTTTGACTATCGAGCCACCTTAATACAGGTCGGTCCATATTCGTAATTTTATAGCTTTTCAAGCATTTTACAACGGTTGAAAAAATCATTCTCCAGTGAATAGCGCTATCTGGCATTCGTACAACCGGACGTCTAAAATTTCCAAGAAGTGAATACCTGTTCACAAATGTTCTGTTACTAGACTAATAGATAATCTTTTCTAAATGAGATCGGACTATATACGTCTGTGTGTGGATTCACGTTCAAGCCCTCATCGTCGCATCTTGACGCTTGATACCTGTCTGAATTGGTCAATTTACATCTAATTGTCATGCATACAAACGATAGTTGTGGGCTAATCGTTTGCCATCTGTCTTACTTCTTCATTAAGTTTTTTTACAAGAGATGTTTTTATATTCTCTAGCTTTGGCTATTGTTGACCGTCAACATTTATTGTTTAAGAAATATCGCTTATAATCGAAAGCATCAGTGCCTCAATGACTTTCACCGACTTACTATTGTTTATATAAAACAGATGTTCCGATTTCATGGTAAAAGTTCTATCAAGGATGAAGTTTTAACCAACTTATTAATTTCACACCTGTGCTACTACAGCAAGCCACAGGGTTTCCACTGAGTCAGTTAGACCCGCGTTTTCCTTATACCTTAAAGAAAGCGGTCGAACTGTTGTCCCCGGTGATTCCTCGGCTCGTCGTTTCTGCTGTGCTCAAGTTTGAAAAATTCAACAAAAGTTGGTATATTCGAAAACGAACTGTTTATTATTATAGATTGTTTGACGCAGGTATAATCCATCCACTCGCTTATGATAGAAGAGCAGCCAAATTCATTTGAAACTGAAATTTGTCGAACTACTCGCGATCTGAAGTTTCAAGTTTGGCACTACCGCTAAAGGCTGACAAAAATGACAACGAAGACTTGAGGAATTGAAGAATAAAAGGGAGAGATAAAATTCGAAAATTTGACATCCAACGTCAAACCACCATCCTCCATCATCACTGGCAAACAGAAATGGCTGCAATAAAACGAATCCAAGTGGTCCTAGTCATAATGACTGTACTACTAATGGAAGACAATACAATCACACCTCGGGGAGAACCAAAGGAGTGTTACGACTACATCGACCTTACAGTGTCTTACTGGAGAAATAATAGTAACGAAACGATCATACCAATACTTCCCGCTTCAATATGTAACGGAACCCTAGGGGGACAAAGATGGTACAATTATAGCAATTTAACTGGGATTTTCGCAATGGATAAGGGCATTCGTCTTGCTAATTCAACAGAATTTGGAAAGACATTCTGCCCAAATCTAACACTAGGTCATTTGCGTGACGAAAGTAAGGCCAAGAATAGTTCAAGATTAGTCTGTTTCGCAGAGTATGCTTCAGGCCCATATGCAGGAAAGATTTTTTTCCAACGTTTACTAAAGGTGACATATTGCGGTTCATTCTACGTCTATCAATTACCGCAGTTTGAATGTATAAAAAACACTAGCGTACCACATACAACGATATCAGGTACAAAGATACCATCTACAAAGAAATTAGGCGTACCACATATATCGATATCAGGTACAAATATCCTATCTACAAAGAAATTAGGCACCGTACCACATACAACGATATCAAGTACAACGATACCATCTGCCAAGACATTAGGCATAACAAAAGGTAAGTTCTTGGTATATGCAACTGCGCGAGATCAGGAGTTGTTGTTGTTTCAAGTATTTTCTTTGTTTTAAAAGATTATATAAACTTACCCGTTTGCCGTTTAGATCCTACTCCGACTCCAACTTTCACTTTTCCCCCAATCGCAACCACCATGAAAAGCAATGAAGACGTATTTGAGAAACTAAAAAAACAGGCAAGGGAAAAATTGAGTTTATTTAAAGCTCACAATATTTAATTAAACCCTGGAGGGGCCGGTTGTACAAAAGCCGGTTAGCTTAAAACCCAGGTTAACCAAATACTTAAAAACAATCTTCCCAATAGCGTGTTTATAAGTTTGAAGATGTTTTTCCAGAATGTTTGTCTGGACAAAGTTTTGAATAAACACTCAAATGTGCGGATGTATAACCAAACCGAACAAAGTGACGGTGAATCCAGCTTTGAAGAACCGGCCCCAGGACAGGATAGTCTGGATCACCTAACAGTCTTCAGAGGAACTAAATAAATTAATCTAGTCCGAAATATAAAGTTCAACGTAAAGTTCAACAAATACGAGCAACAAGAAAGTTGTTCCAACTGGCGCCAAGCAGCTGTTTTTAACGGATGCTATATAGAAATAACTACGATTCGTTTAAACAGTCAATTTGCAAAAGGCTGCGGCTTATTTAGCTCTAGCTTTCGACCCTACGCTTATTTTAGCTGCAATTGATTGTTTAATGTTCCTACGAGACGTTCCCAACTTAATAAAGTCGAGGCTTATTTTCGCTCGTATAAATGGCCCTAATATTTGTCATGTTTGGAAACCAAAATTCAAATTTGTTTAACAAATTAATCTAAATTGAAGATTCGGTGCTAATTAAACTTATTATCAGATATAATGAGCCATATTGAGCATGCACGTTTGCATAATTTTTCCAAGCTTCACACTGACTAAAACACATCGCTGCAACATATGACATTAGGGCCATTTATACGAGACAAAATAAGACGTGACTTACATAAGACGCGACTTAAATAAGACGCGAGTTTGTCGTATAAAAGGCACAAAATTCTTTTATAATATAGCATTTGTAAATTCTGAACGCTGATTGGCTAAGAGCCGTGTTGATATAACTCGATGTCAACACGGGAAATTTCCGCCACTTGTAAACACGGAAATTTTTCTTACCTTCGGGCTTTTGACATTGCTATATTATAAAAAAAATATAAAACATTTTTTCCGTATTGATATATAGTTATATCAACACTCGTGGAAGTTGGGAAAA